AAATTGGGTTACTCTTTCTACGATTTTATAATTCAGCCGAACTAGTAATTTTTCTATAGACAGCCGTTGAAGTAAATTATCTTGACAAACAATGCACGCTTCAATTTGATTGCAAAATGCATTAACATAAGCGCTAATATTAGACATTAATACGTCAAGTACACATTAAAAGAGGGCAATCGGGCATGCAATAAACGGTCGTAAAGTCGCGTCTTATCATTCCGTTACTCGATTACTATGAATGTCTGCATTGCACTGCATCGAAGCAAGTTACGTTGTGCAGAATAAGCAATCGGTGAATTGTCAAGTTTGTTACAGTTAAAAGAAACAGTAGTTACTCGAAGTCACGATAAACAATTTTGTCTGGGTAACGACAAAATAGAAGTTTCTGCAAACTTACTTACGAGAAGCAACGAAAAGTGTAAAGAGGGAAGCAGCGATTCTTAGTAACAAACTATGTCTCTTAGTAAATAAAATAAATTGAAGGTAGTGTTTGAAGTATCTTAGCTCGACGAACGTCAGATAATGATATGACGACTTGCAAGATGGAAAGAAAATTTTAAATTGGTTTTGTTGATCACATTATATTTTATTTTGTAATTATGACTATACAGTTTGTCGAATGGACATCAGGTGAATTCTTCTATACTAAATGGGTTAGTTCGTTACATTAGATATGACTGGCAGATTTGTCGCTATAAACTATTAAATTATTGTCAACAGATTGAACTTAATTGTCAGCAGTATTATCCATGACGTTACAAGTCATTTATGTTGATAAACGTGGAAATATTTGAACAAACTGCAGCAATTGAGAAAGGTTTCTTAATAAATAAAATAAAACATATACTCACATATGCATGTAAGTAATGAATGTTTAAACATTTTTTTTAAACAAAATCTTAGTTACATTTCAAATGAATTTCTGTTCTAATAATACAAATTTACGTAAAAACACAGAGTAGAATTGAAGAAATTTTATCGTACGAACATCGTACATTTTTTTATCACTTTCTTATCAAACGGAGAGAGAATTTCTGCGCCAAAATATTCACAAAGAAATTGATAATCTTATCTCTGTTATCAGTACACTCAGACTTATTTGAAATATCCTCGTATCTAAAATGTTATTCTACGGGAACTTTGTTAATCAAAATGCTTTCCTGGAACGAGGAAACTGATAGAATTGTATGCTTACTGATATAGAGACGAACAAATGCCACTTTGAACTCGGGACATTTGTACGATATGCGTATTAAACGGCGGCATTGAGAGACGGTATTTTCTCACCTCAGAGAAGAGATCGGAGAAGAAAATATGTCGGTCAACTAAAAATAATAGCTTCGTATATTGTCCGTCTATTGCTGGATAAGTGAAAATAAAACTATAGGTGATTCACACGTTTCTGGGAGTCTGCGGAATATGTACTGGATGAAAATAGATCGTCTTCTTTGATAAAGCAAAAAAATACTTATGAGCTATTTGTAACAATATTTCAACGTTAAGTGTTGAATATTCTTCTTACATTAAAAAGAGAATCACTTTCATTAAATATTATTTTAACAATATAATGCTAAAGAAAATTATTTTTCTTTACTTCTAACTCTTTAAGCCATGAATTTGATCTTTAATTGGAAATAACGTAAACAAAGCGCCAAAAATAAAAAAAAACTAGACCATCAATTAAACATAAAAATTACATTAACGAAAAAGCGGATGAAAAAATTGTTTCTTTGAATCAATATCGAATGGCGTTCTTATTACTGCAAGGATTTAAATAAATTTGGAGGTTTAGCCTTTGTCATATGTTTCCGAGATTGTTTCTCGATTTTAAATAAGGTTTTTAATAGCATACCAGCAACAATAGAAGACGCGCAGAAAAGAATATTACGTGAAGTAATTATTTACTTACTCCGTTAGGAAATGGGTTAAAATGAATGAAAATCATTTAGAATCATTTCTACGTTAAAACGCTTGAATATTACTTTTCTTAAAAGAACACACGTAATCTATGTATTTTTTATTTACGATCAACTGAAAACTATTACGTTATATACAGTTGAATTTATTTTTTCCTAAATTGCAATATTGTGTTGAAAATAAAGGAGCTTTGAGAAAAAAGTACTGGCACTCAAAATATTTGTTCCTTTGGACTGCTTTTTCAAATTATCAAGAGCAACAAAGATTCAAGAGTCAAGATAAATGAG